TTGTTAGAAACTGAAAGGAAATCATGCTGACTTTTAGTACTTTTCAGAAATAATAAACAAAATAAGAAATTTAAATTACAGGAAAGGTAACCTGGGGAAATACCTGCGGTAAGTATTGTGCAAGAAAAGAGATATGGCATATTTAGGTGTATGCATTAGGGCTGAGAAATGTTTTCATTGGACGAGCTGTGTCCAGCGGGGAGGAAATCACCAACCGCCAATAAGACGGCTAAGTAGCCTATTCAAAATTTAGAAAAAGTCTAGTTGAAGGGATCCTACGACTACCAAGGTGCCCACCAACAGGGGGCATGTTACCTTGGTGAAATCTCCATCTTGGTGTTATTGTAATTTCCCGGGGAAAAGTGGTGCTACCAATACCTCTAGCCTTCCAGGACTATAGACTGGTGATGATCAAATGTATACTCGGCCTTTCCTTGGAATGATTTGACATGGGGTCTAACCAGAGCACCATATAATCTGGCACTACGTGTGGCCAGTTGCCCGCAAGACTTGTCCTGGATGATCTGTTGGTTGAGGTTCCTTCGGGATCCACGTAGTGGTTGTGGTTTATACCCAAATTCGCGGGGAGAAAATGTTGGTTCAAGGACTAATATATATCCATATGTCATATATGTCTGAATTTTCTCTCCGGTGTTGTTGCCATCTCAACAGATGTCACTGAGTGATATGACAGATCAACTTATGCTGTATTCCTGAACCCGTTGAGTATATCTTATTCTTCACGTAGTAGGGCACCAGTATAGGTTGGGGAATTCTCAGGTTGACACTTGGTAGTTACCTATCATACCGTAAATCGTTCTTTATGGTCTGAGAACGGAACTGATGTAATTGGTGAACGATCGGGAAAGACTCCTCTGCCCGACAGGAGACTAGTATTGATTTAGTAGACCTTTTACTTCAGAGAAGTTCTCGATGCTGTTGCCATCTCAACAGGATTCATATTGTTATGGTTAAGGTCCTTTCCCTCAACTTGTCGGGGTAAATATTTGTTTTGAATTGACTTTGGAAATTCCTACATCCTTTGTTACATTATCTGACATACAGAGGGATCCTGATTCATTGGGTATTTCAGACTACCAAATACGTCTCTAGGTACTGTTGCCGAATCAATGGAGCCATCTCAGTAGTGTGGTTGCGCAGGCTTTAAGAGGTTAAGGAATGCACTGGAATGGCTCACTAGTTGATGGGGATAGCATTTTAAATAATGCAATCTTTCATGACATCATAAGGGTGATCACCTTCCGGTATACCGCTAGATTGATTTCACCTGATTTTGCGGTAGTCACCCCTTCTATTGACTTTAGACCAGTGATTGCTTTTTCCTTGTTGGGGTTTGCATTGGGATTGATTCTATGCTGCCTGTCATTCCGCAACGGGGCTACTATGGCAAGAGATTAGATAACTTGAGTACTTCAGCAAAGTGCTTGTACAAAAAAAAAATCTCCTTTTTATAGAAAATTTTTAAAAAATTCTCTTTCAATAGAAAATTTTCGAAAAATTCTCTTTCTATAGAAAATTTTCGAAAAATTCTATTTTTCTATAGAAAATTTTCGAAAAATTCTCTTTTTCTATAGAAAATTTTCGAAAAATTCTCTTTTTCTATAGAAAATTTTCGAAAAATTCTCTTTTTCTATAGAAAATTTTCGAAAAATTCTCTTTTTATAGAAAATTTTTGAAAAAAAATTCTCTTTTTTGAAAGAAATTTTCAAAAAAATTATCTTTTTTGATAGAAATTTTCGATAAATTTTCTTTTCTTAATAAAATTTTCAATAAATTTTCTTTTCTTAAGAAATAAATTTTCTTTTCTTAAGGAAATTTTCAATAAATTTTCTTTTCTTAAGAAAATTTTCAATAATTTTCTTTTCGTAAGAAATTTTTCGATAAATTTTCTTTTCTTAAGAAAAAATTTTTTTTCGAAAATTTCTATAAAAAATAGATTTTTTTATAGAAAATTTTCGAAAAAATTCATTTTTTTATAGAAAGTTTTCGAAAAAGTTCTTTTTTATAGAAAATTTTCGAAAAAATTCTCTTTTATATAGAAAATTTTCGAAAATATAAAAGTTTACTGTTATATAATTCAATTTTAATTCTAGACCATAATAAAAATTTTCAATTTTTATTCCTTCCCAAAAATATGCACTTACTGAACATCCAAATTTAGAAAATCTATTTGCGTACGATTATAATTTTTTCGTATGTATTTATGTATATTTAATAGCAATTTTTTATTTTTCTCAAAATGAAAAAACATTTGCATTGAATTGCTTAAATAAATTCCAATTCTGTTTGTGTTGTGTGTTGTTATTTATGCCAAATTTGGACGATAAATCATGTGGCATTAAAAAGGGTTCTTTAAGCGTATTTTAAAGCTGTATAACTATAAAAACAGTTTAAACATTAAAAATACATACAATAAATACATAGTTTTATAAAATAAATCATAAATCTCGTTAACGATTTGCAAAATCTGAATTTGTTATTAAATGCTTGAATTGCGATTATTTTTACAAACAAGTGTATTTTTAGTATTTTATTTCCATAGGCCATATTATAGATGTATTATGGTTAAATATACAATATGTAAGGAGGAACAGTGGTCTCTTATTTAAAGGGATAAGATGGAAAACAAAATCTAGAAGCTGTTTGGAAAATATCAAATATATAGCAACAGATTTTGAAGTCTGAGTTTATTGGACGAGACTGCTGCATATCCTGTGAAATAGTTTTCAGAATTAAAGTCCCACTCTGCTATTAACTACTGTCTATAATATGAATATGTTTATGATTGTGGTCATTTAATAATGGTTTTATATGGTGATTTCTATTCAGAGATTTATTTATTTCCATTTTGTTTCTTTTTCCTTGGGAGGCTCATTTAAAATTCATATTGTGGCCAATGAGACCAAATAATATTAGACAAAAAATATGATCAAAATAAGAAATAATCATAATGTAAATGTGGTTACTGTTAACCAGGAAATGTACAATAACAATAACTACAATAATAAAAACACAACAACAACATTAAATAGCAACAATAAAGAATATACACTACAATATATAATAATTGTATGTAATTTGATTAAGAAATCATTCAAGTGTGGCATATAAATCATTTTATATGCAAATTTTAAATTACAAAAAAATATACAGAAATAAATTTTAAAAAAATTCATAATTTTATAAAATCCTTTCCATACATGATTCTTTTCCAAACATTTTAAACAGCGGAACTTTATTACCATAAATAATTGTCATTTTTTTTTCAATGAACAAACGACAGCTAGTGTAAAAAAATCTCTTTTAATACATGATATTAATTTCAAGTCTTTTTTTTTTGTGGATGCAGAATAGAACAAAAATAAAATAAATATAAAATGTAGTAAAAAACACAGCAATCAAGAGAGTTAAGATAGAAAACTTGAAAGAAACTAAACCGCTTTTATAGAAACCTCCATATGACACTCCTCAAAATATTCAAAATCATAATAAAGTACAAACAACTTTTTGAGCAAAAAACTAAATTGTTTAATATAAAATAACAAATAATAATGTACTCTTATAACACACATATTCTAACGATAAAATGTGGGCAAAAAAATTTATATTAATATTAGTATTAAACCTTAATGTCATGCATATGTATTTACAGTTCAAGCAAATTTGAAAAAGGTGATCCAAATTGCCTGGATTATACGAAAATAGACATTTACGATCTCCCTTTCCAGTCCCTATTATTTCATCAACGCACGGATATAAGAATCCTATGACTAAATTAACCAAACTTCATTCTCTTCCCTCCTCCTTTATCCCCTTCCAAAGCCTTCAACAAACTAAAATATTTACAAAATTCCTGAGTATAATTTTGAACCGATTGGTATACATCTAATGTGAGTATTTTCACACCACCCTGTATTTTATAACCAACCTTTACATACCTTATACAAACATTGAAATTTCGTATAATTCACCATAAAATATTCAATGTTGTCAAAAATTACATTGACATCAAAACAAAAACCCACCTTTACGTTAAAGACATTATTAAGAGAAACTTGAGAAATATATTTTGATATACATGTTACTAATTTGTAAAAATAGTTATTAAAGAAAAGTGCAAGAATTGTTTATACATATACAAAGATTTGATTAATATATTTGATTATGATTTGACAATAAATATAAAATATAAGTTAACTTCCTTTATTATGTGAAATTAAAAAAAATTATTTTTAAGTGGACACCGACTTGTCCACTATAAATGAAACACGTTAATTTTTGGTTTACAATTTTATTCAACGACCGCTTTGGTCAACCTCCCAAGTAAGACTAACTCTAACAATATTTTTTAAATACTTAAATCTAAATAATTCTGCTGATCCAACTTATTCCATTCCCACGTTGTGAAATCTTCCAGACGAAATATGATCCTGCATACTAGCTTGCGCGTGTGCACCGTCAGCACAACCTTGTGTAGATTTTTCCCGCTCATGTATACTTGATTGTGTTAACTCCTCCCTTGCCAAAAATCTGCGTCCCGCAGATTGGGGTTTGCATGCCACGTTGCTTGTGCTCTGCAGCGGAGGGAGACGCACTTGAGAGTATAAAGCTTTCCAGCATAGGTAGCCTAGGAATGATAGGAGCAAAAAAATAGTGCAATCCGCTACTATAGAGTAGTGGTATTTTGTGTCTAGATTTTCTAAATTTTTTATGTTTTGTAAACTCATATTGTGAAGATATCCTATGTCAAGCTGCCGCCTTTCTTCTAGGATGGTTGTGACGATCTGGGGTAGGATTTGTATAGATGTCTCGCTTCGGCTGGTGTACGTAACGTTTTTTATTTTCACTTCTTCGTTGTTAAGTCGCACTGCGTAGGTTCCCGAAAGGAATTTAGTAATGTTACCACTCTGGAGATTACCTCTAAAGTTGGTAATGAATATGGTGTCTTCCATAACAGGTTCGACAACCTCTTCTTCACAGGATCTGTAGGAACATTTTGCTTCACCTCCTTTGATGAGAATTGAAACACAATCATCTTCAGGGAGTTTTCTCAAGCTCGTTTCCTCACACACGGTATTGTTGTTGATTCGCATGCATGGTTTGGTGATCCCATATGTCTCTTTCTCATTAACCAGCAACGTGTTAAACGGTAAGTCTATAACCTTTCCTTCCTGAATGGATGGTTTGACAATAAGGTAGTTGTACTCAACTTCTCTTACCTTGGGCAGTGAAAGGACATAGAGAATCATTGAACCGTTTGTGCATACCCTTGGATCGGCGTACTCGATGGCCTCCAATTCATTAGAATAAGGGAGTGTTGCAATTTCGTCAATTATGCGGTGAATTTCTTCTCTGTCGAGTACATTAGAGTTGACTATGCCACCTTTGGCCATTTGCGCGGCTCTCATAACCTCGTTTACCTCTTCTTTGATGACCATTATTTGGCGTAGGATTTGATTAATGAATTTTTCGACGTTCGTTGCATTGACCTCGTTGTGAAATCGTGCCACCATTGCATTAACCTTAGATATTGTTTCCTGTGACGCTTTAAAGAGTCGATCGTTGATCACATATTGGTGATTATTATTTTCAATGATGCTTTGTTCAGACCTCAACACATTATCCCAATCTGCTGCATCCGGATTGCCAGCCAACCACTTCCAAGCTGAACCGATCCAATTGATAGAGCGTTTCTGCTTCTTGTATTTACCCCTAAGCGTATCTAATTGGGAAAAAATTGTATTAACATGGAAATCAATTACCATCCGTTCTTTCTCATCCACAGCAATTTTTTCCAGCATTGCCACGGTTTGGCCTAATAGGCGCTCGTATTCCTCTAAGTTGATAACATGAACCAGGTTAAACCTTCCATCAACCAGCCAACCTTTGCCGTATTTGAATGTAACCAACTGCGAGTGGTATTCGAAGATTTGTAGACTGTTCACGCCCGTGAACCACGTGAGACTGGAATGATAAATGTCGTTTTGTCTAGCTCTACGATTAGTTTGTTAGAGTGTTAGTATGATTGTATTATTAAAGTGTTAGTACGATTAGTACAATTAAATTTCTACTTCACATTTAACTAAATTCCTACTTCACATTTTCACTTATATAATGTTTTAACGTTAATAGATTCTTATTCTATGTTAGTTTTCCCTTTATCTTAATTAATTTCATCTTTCATTTCCGTTTCCATCTCATAAATTTTATTATATTCATCTTTAAGGCTGAAGGCCACATTCTCGTTAGTAGATACTTATTCTAAGTTAGTTTTCTCTTTATCTTAACTAATTTTATCTTTCATTTCCGTTTTCATTTCATAAATTTTATCGTATTCATCTCTAAGGCTGAAGGCCACATTCCCTCTTTTTTCTTTTTTGAACTAGGTGTGATTATCCGCCATATGCAAGAAGTGCAAATGATAATCTCTTAAGCCATGGACTTCCTTTGCATTATGCAATTGGCATTGATCACCCTTGCTCTAAAATAAATTTTCACCATTGCAATGATCTTCATTCAAGTTATTTTAATTACTTTCAATATACCTTCGCTTAAGCTTCCATAAAAAAATATCTCATCTCATATTCATCTTTTGCCCCAATTGAAGGCTTCAATTCAGTTCAAGGTTTTCTCAGTAGTACGATTTCCTTATTCTTATGGCACCCATGGGGAATTGAACCCCTCCGCAAATATGCAGTTTCCACTATAGGTTTTGGGACCATTTACTTATATTTTTTGTGTGGACCGTAGATTCCGAGTTATCCCTTTTAGCATCAAGCGTTAATGGTTTAATTGCAAGAAACTTACTCGTGGTACGGAGATCTACCACGACTTATGACAGTGAGGACATCACTATCACAAATCGTTGTCCCAAAAAAAAGAAAATCGCATTAAGAGATACCATTAAGTTCAAAAAATGGGTATTGTACCCAATTTCCCATTTCCTCCACTTCTCCTTAAAAAAGGTAGAAGTTTTATCTCCATTTCTCTCCTTTCATCATTCACATGTCTATGGGGATTTGAACCCCTGCGTAAATACGCATACCGCTAAAATTTAAGGACCCCATAGGTATCCTTTAAGATTTAATGTGGGTCTTGTGAATCCTTTTTCCAGTGCTCGTTTGCACTGTGACCCGATTGTTTCTATCAACAACCGCTTTCTCATAAAGCGGTCGATGCTTTGCCCTGATCTGCTTATTCCTAACATGAACGGTATCACCCGCCTTATAATCCTTCGATAAGACACGACGCCTAGAATTATGTCTCTCCAAGGTTGCCTCTTGCTTTTTCTTTATCGATTTTTTCACCTCCCTGTTCAACTTTCGCCTAAAGTTCTGCAACCTTTGGTAATTAATTCTCTCAGCTCTATTAAAAAAAATATCAACCGGTTTCCTATTCGTTACAGAGTGGATGGTGTTATTGTATCGATCGGTAGCGAGCATTATAAGTTCCCTAATACCTAAATCCCTATGTTCGACCTTTAAACATCGATAAATTTCCAGTAAGGTCGAATGGAATCGTTCCACTTGTCCGTTCACTTCACTACGACCTACTGGAGTCAAATATACCTTGACACCAAATTGTCGAATCACGTTCATCACTATTGGGCTGATAAAACCTCGCTCATTGTCAGTCACTAAAATACGTGGTGTCGAGAAGTAATTAAGGATTTCTATAATTCTCTCCCTCATTTGCAAGGCTGAACGATTCCTAAGAGGAAAAAGTTTCCCAAATTTTGAAAATTTATCCAAGACACTAATAAAATACTCATTTTGGAGTACGAAAATATCCATGTGCAATATTTCACAGGGATAAGAAGGAATCGGAGTTGCCTGTAGCTTAGGTATCGGCGGATTCCGATCATATTTGTTAGCCTTGCATATTTCACAATTCCTCGTATACCTTCCTACAAGACTGTTCATCCTAGGGAAATAGTATTTTTCCAAGAGCTGTAGTTTATTCTCGTCCTTATTCCTATGTGCCCTTCTGTGCTCCTCTTCTATCAAGGAACAGACCCTATTTGGACAAGTTACATCTTCTACAAGTCTCTGAGTGATCCGTAGCTTATAATGTGAAAAGTGTTCCAAATAAACCTCCTGTAATAGCCACAAATACTGTTCAGGAATTTTAATCCCATTTAAGACATCAGGTCTAAGTTTTTCCCTCAGGATTCGTGTAAGATTTTCCCTGCTAATTTCCTCCAAAGATATGATGTGTCGGTTGTAGCCAGGATGAGGATTAATATGTGTAATCATATCTGATTGGAATTGTCGTATTATAATCTGATTACGAAAAACGTTAATAGGAGCTTCGACATGTGGAATCAAATCTGTGCCATCTTGTTCGGCACTGTGTACGGTTCCCTCGCTAGCTGTTATAGTAGCTGAGTCTCCGTTCCCTATCGTACCCTCACTAGCTGTTATGGTATCTGAGTCCTCACTTCCTACCCTACCTTCACTTGCAGTGTCAGTGGAGGACTCATCCGCAAGATGGACACATAAATCTGTAGATGCAGTTCTCGAAGTCTGCTCAGCTTTCACTGAGTCGGTTGAGTCTGCTTTTAAGCGAGATAAGGCGTCGGCTACTACATTGGATTTCCCTGGTTTATATACAAGTTCGAAGTTATATTCCTCTATCCTAGCCTTCCACCTTTTCAATTTCGCATTATAATTCCTGTTGCTCATGGCAAACGTCAGAGGTTGGTGATCGGTAAAAATGCGTATTTTCTTAGCTCCATACAGATAGGAGCGAAGATTGTCCAATGCCCAAACTATGGCGAGCATCTCTTTCTCGTTCGTGGCATATGCCTCTTCTGTTTTGTTCAAAGAGCGAGAAATAAAGGTTATTGGTTTGTCCTTTCCCATTTCCCCTTGAGACAGTACTGCACCTAAAGCACTGTTAGAAGCGTCTGTCGTAAGATTAAATGGTTTGTCAAAGTCCGGGAAGGCTAATACTTCCGACGACGTGAGTAACTCCTTAAGCTCGTTAAATGCTTGTAGCTCTTCCTCCCCGAGAATAATTCTAACTTTCTTCGATTGATTAGCCTTGACTTGTGCCATCTCGCCACGAGTGAGAGTGGTTAAAGGTTTAGCTACTTTGGCAAAGTCTTTAATGAACCTCCTATAATAGGATGTTAATCCCAGAAAACTTTTGAGCTCTTTCAGGGTCTGGGGTGGTACAATGTCAAGGATTGCCCTCACCTTCTTCCTATCAGGCAGTATACCATCCTTAGTAACCACGTAACCAAGGAATTCGACCTCGGTTTTCATAAAAGCAGTTTTCTCTAAATTAACCCTAAGGTGAGCGTCTCTTAGACGCTGAAATACTTTCCTAAGGTTCCCCAGGTGTTCCTCAATATTACCCCCGTATACTATTATGTCGTCTATATAGACATAACATATTTTCCCTATACAACCTCGCAGGACGTCATCGACCATACGCTGAAATATAGCAGGCGCATTCCGTAGGCCGAACGGTAGCCTCAAAAACTCATACTTCCCATTCATTGTTGAAAAGGCTGTCTTTGGAATATCCCTTGGATTCATTGAAATCTGATGAAACCCCAAAGTGAGGTCAAGGGTTGTAAAATATTTCGCCTTGCCAAGGCTCGCCAAAGTTGAATTTATGTCGGGAATTGGATATGTGTCAGGTATGGTGACGGCATTCAGTCTTTTGAAATCCACCACCATCCGATATTGTTTCTCTCCATTTGGTTTAGGTTTCTTTGGGACCACCCAGATGGGAGAATTATAAGGACTTCTTGACGGCCGTATTACATTATTATTCAGAAGTTCTTCTATTTGTCTGTCTACTTCAGCACGCATACAAGCTGGACAAGGATAACTCTTTGAGTATATTGGCTCATCAGTGGTACACCGTATCTCTGCCCTAATAGATGTTGCTGCCAATTCGTTATTTATTGGTCCAAATATGTCACTAAACTCGGCTATTAGGTCACTCAATGTAGTGCATGATGGAAGTACGTTAATTTCGTTCAATGTCTGAATTCTAAGTGGTATACTGATCCCTGGCGAGATTGTCAGTGTATTATTTTTGTGGTCTATTATAGCTTGAAGCTCAGGTAGAGTATCGTCGCCGATTATACCATTGAAAGATGTGAATCCCGGTAGTACATAGAATGTAATTGTCGTATCGTTACCAAATGGGGCAAAGAATTTCCCCTTTACCTTCTCACTAATTTGTATTCTCCCTGAGGCAGTACGAACATAAAATGGTTTATCTAATTTCTTTGATCTGGGGCATAAGGCTGGCTCAACAAAGTTTTTTGTAGCCCCTGTGTCTATTAAAAATTTTATTATTGAGCCATCCTTTAATTCATTGCTTACGTATGGTAAGCCGGAAAGGCACGAGTCCGAAAATTTATTTCGTCGTCGGCCGGTTCGCCTTCATTGTCCTCTTGTGTCATGTTAAAAATTCTCTGTTGTTTAAACGGGTGTTGTGCCGACCCGGGACGAACCTGTTCCGAAAAGGCACGCCTTTTGTGGTTATTCCATGGTCGGTTTCCGGTCCCCCTAGATTGCGTACTCTGATCTATGTCCATTGGTTCTGGTCTGTGGGGAGCAGGCTGTTGCGCAACACGCCGTGGCTCAAATTGTCGGTTAACAAAAGGGTTCGCTTGAGGTTGATACCGGTTTTTCGGTACAAATTTTTGGAAGGAAGCTTGGTTTCGAGTCTTACTTGGGTGGTGATTCGGAAAGTTATTAAATCCCATTGGAACCTGGACCCTATTCTGACCATTAACCGAATGTAGGGAGACCTGACTCCTGTAATTGGCATTTCTCAATTCCAAACATTGCGAATATGCCTCGGGAAGTGTCTTTGGCTTCATGAGCATTATCATCTTTGACAGCTCGC